GCAGGGTCGGGGGCAGTTGCAGACTCTGAGAGCAGAGGGCAGGATGTCCCTTAGAGAGAGCTCTTGGCATCAACACAAAGAGAAGGAAGCAGAATCAGGCCAAGGGAGACTCAGCGAGGGCCTCACACCTCAACTGGAGTCGTCCAGAGTTGGGATGACAAGTCCCTCACATCAGGACTTCCCTAGTGGCTCAGTGGCTAGGACTCTGCGCTCCCAATGCAGGGGAGCCCGGTTCAATCCCTGGTACGGGAACTAGATCCCACATGCATGCCACAACTAAGACCCCGTGCAGCCAAATAAATAAAAAATAAATATTTAAAAATAAGAAAAATAATACCCTCAGGTCAATCATCGCTGCCTGTGGCCAGCACGGGAAGGGGGCGGGCAGTCCCTGAAGAGCGCTGACCGCTGAAGGCTGTGTGCTCAGCACTCTCGGCAGCAGAGGGACCAGGCCCTTATTCCCGACGGGATCTGCGAGGGACATCGCAGGGCCCACCGGTCCACCCCCCTGTGCCACACATCTGTGCCTCCCTGAGGTTTGGGGAGAAGCTCTTCCAGAGTCCCAGAGAGGGGAGCTGGGCCGAGGAAGGCTCGCTGGGCCTGGCACTGCCCAGACACTCACCATTAGCGCCCTTTCCTCCTTACCCTAGACTCCCTCCGCCGTCACCCAGCACCTGATTCAGACCCTCATCTCCTGCGGGCCCCCAAGCCCTTTGCAGTCCAGGGTTCCGGCACTTGTGTGTTTGCCACCCACACTGGGGACAGGGAGTACGAGAGACACCTGGGTGACCACCTGGGTGCAGACAGACCCCTCCCTGGCCCCTGGGTGCCGGCAGCCCCACTGGCTCTTGCTGGTCAGGCTCAATCACCCCTGCGGGGTGGTGTCTCTTCTCGTGCAGGCAACAGCCTCGGTTCAGTGGGACACAGCTGTGCTCTCTGCTTCCCTCTTTGCAAAGTAGGGGCGCTAGGTCCACAAGGCCAAGAGTTTTGGGGATGGGAACCTCGAGTTCCCTAAGCAGGTCACTGGGAGCAAGGGCAGGTGGGAGTGTCACGTGGCACCAGGACCGATCCACGCGATGTGTCCACGACCGGGGAGACGCTCTGCGACGGGGGGAGGGTGGTGAGTATGGAAGAGACCGCGAGGAAGCTCTTACCCAGCGCACCCAGGCCAGGGCTCCTCCCTCTGTGGCTGCTGCCAGACGACCCTTGTCTTCCACGAAGAACCGTTTTCCATTGTCACTTCTCTCTGCTGCTAACCTTGCTGGAAGGAGCCTCACCAACAGGGAGATAAAAGCACAGTTTTATGCATGATCATCAGTCCTTACCGTGCAGGTTGCTTGTAGCCTCTAGACCTCTGAGTGGTTCCAGAGCACCCAGTGGTCACAAAACTGCTCTGTAAATATTTAAGAGGTGAAACAAAAACAAGGTAAGCAATTTATACTAGGAATTTGCATGCTTTTCCAGAATTGACTAGCCTGGGGCTCTGGATCTGAGCCACTGAAGCTCATGGGCAGTGAGGTGAGGTAGAGCCGCTAGGTTTCCCGGCTCCCTGCAGATAAAGAGAGGGCGTTCAACTGGGCCGGTGCCCACTCCACTAGGTTATTTCCAGCTCCTGAGCTCTTTCCTAGGGCTTCTGCCGTATTTGGCATCTTCTACACCTTCTTAAAAGTCCCCCTCGGGCTTCCCTGGTGGCGCAGTGGTTGAGAGTCCGCCTGCTGATGCAGGGGACACGGGTTCGAGCCCCGGTCCGGGAAGATCCCACATGCCGCGGAGCAACTAGGTCCGTGAGCCACAACTACTGAGCCTGCGCGTCTGGAGCCTGTGCTCTGCAACAAGAGAGGCCGCGATAGTGAGAGGCCCGTGTACCACGATGAAGAGTGGCCCCCGCTTGCCACAACTAGAGAAAGCCCTCGCACAGAAACGAAGACCCAACACAGCCAAAAATAAATATAAATTTTTTTAAAAAGTCCCTCTTAAAAACTGCCAAAATATACACCCTAACGAATACTGCCTTTCAAAATGAACCTGAAAAATGAAACAATTACCATGTTTTCATTTAATAAAACATTTCCAATTTTGCCTCAATTCAAAGCATATTTTGAACAATGGCAATGTCTTCAGAGTCAATGTATGAGTCGCTTAAGAAAGTCAGCCAGCAGTGAAAAGTACCCCTCTGTTTTCACCAAAACTTTATTGTTAGGCTTGGATCTCAATTTTTTGGCACTGCAAAAAATAAAAAATTGAAGACCTTTTTTTTTTAAAGTTCCACAAGCTTTGAGAAGTTCCAGACACTTTCAACAAGGGCAAGATTATTTAAAAATATATGTATGATTACCTCAGGTGATGACTTAGAAGGAGATAACATTTGCTTAACTCATCTGTTGTGTTATTTAATAGTCATGGTCATTTTTACCACAAAGTTGTATTTTATTTATACAAGTTCTTACAAAGTAGAGTTTATACACTTTGGCTGAAAATCAAAAATGCTTTTCCCACAAAACAACTGACAAATGATCACATTCTTAGTTCTTTCATGATATAGTAACATTAAATCATTTTTAGAAAATTAAAAAGCAATTTTAAGCTAATTATTAGCATCTACAAATCCGTAAAATTATGAAATATCTACAAGCAAATGCACAAAACACCAGTGAAAGTGAAACTCGAGTGAACCTTGATGGAGAATATTAAAACATTCTTCTCAATAGTTATGAAACAGGAGGGAAGGGGGCAGGGCACAACCTTTGAAAGGATGACATAGCCCGAGGACACGATATAAACTGATTAGAACCAAATGGATCCAAGATGGCAGGCGAGTCGACTTCCTCTAGACCTTGAGCCTCAGTGTACGCTCACAGTAACACATCAGCAAGCTAAATGGCACACTCACAGGTGCCATGACAGTTCCAAGAGCGACCACAAGGGTCAAAAAGAGGGCGGCGGCCCAATCCTGGAAATCCCCGCCCCTTCCCCCAAACAGCTGGAATACTCTCACCACTCATTAGCCTGTGAAATGACCCACCCCTATAAAAACGGACAACCCCAAACCCTGGTGCCACTCTCGCCTTCTGAGATGGCCCACGCTGTCTGTGGAGTGTCTCTCTAAATAAATCCACTTCTTACCTATCTATCACTTTGTCTCTCGCTGAATTCTTTCTGCGATGAGACATCCAGAACCTGAGCTTCGTGAAGTCCTGAGACCAGGCGTGTGATCTCAGCTGGAAGACCATGGCTTCAAGTCCCAATCTGAGTTACACGGTTTCAGTTTTACTTCAGATTCACATTACAGTTGTGGCCCAACATGGTTATCACCAAAAAAAAAAAAAAAAAAAAAAAACCCAGACACTTAAGCAGATAGAAATTTTATTATTTCAACTTGATTTTGTTCCCTAAACTAAAAGAGCCGTCTGTGGAATATGACCTCACTAAGAACACTGTGGAGGTCCTGCAGGCCCAGTCTCAGTGCGCTGGCGCTCCCCCACCTCTCCCTTTAGTTTATAAAGCACTTCATTTAGCCGCTCTGGAAGAATTTATTGTTTTGATATCAACTTGGCTCAGAATCAGTGTCCCATTTTTGAATTTTCCAACCTGTCCAATCCGTCCACTTGACAAAATACTGGGAGCCGATTTCTTCTTTTTGGATTTCCTATATTTAAAGTGAGAGGAAGGTACTATAGTTAAGCTTATACAAAAGGATTTCAGCACCACCAACCAGGCCACCGAGGTCTGGCCCTGCAACCTCCCGGCCCCTCCCATGCAAGGCCCCAGCCCCACTGCGGCACCACTAGCTTCCTGCGTCCCTGAACATGCCAACTGCCTCCTGCCCCAGGGCCTTTGCACTGGTTTCTTCCACGTTGAATATTCTGCTACCAGATCTTTCCGGATCTTCCCCACTCAGTTCTCGATTCAGATGTGGCCTCCTTAGAACGACACACCGGCCCACCCTCAGTGACGTTCTCTCACAATGCACTATTTCAACCTCCTCTCAAAACCTGCCAGGACCTGACATGCCCTTACTTATCTGTTTAGATGTTTTGGTGTGTTTCCCTCCCTAAAATATAAGCTCCTCCAGGGCGGGGACTCTCAGTGTGATCATGGCTGTACGCCCAACACCTAGACACCTATGTGCCTGGCACACAGTGGGCCCTTGACAGACCACACAACCAGAAGAGATGACCACCTTCCAGCATGTGCAAGCTCACTAGGGGTCCAAGAAAAAGCTCAAGACAAAAGTAGACTTTGAAACAGTAATTTGAGGAGAGAGAAAAAGGTACTTGAACAAAAGCTAAGAAACAAGCAGAAAGGCACAAAATCAATGCTCCATTACTCAAACCACGGTGCTCTGCCTCATGTGGTCATGCAAGTGCAGGCAGCACAGGCTCTCTTAGGAGGGGACAGAGGTCTTGTTGGAAATGTCAGCCTCAGCTTTTCCACTAGTCACTGCACATGTCTGGTCTTTGAAAATGGGAGACTGGAGAAGGTTCCTAGTTTAATCCTGAGGGAGTTGTCTGATCTTGGACAATTTACTGAATCCTGTCTCCCCCCTCAAGGATCCTAAGATCCTTGACTTAGGATCAGGAGAGACAGTGCACCACTGTATCAGGCTAGAAACACCACATCAATTCAAGGTATTATGTTCAGAACTAACCAATGGATTTACCCAAATCATTCCACCTGAGTACCTGATGGTATCACTCACCTGTCTTCCTGTCCTTTCCTCTTCTTTTTCTTGAAAATATCTGTGTCCTGGGCCTGATTTCACAATTAAAGAAAACATATGTATCAGTAATGGATAATGGAGATTCAAAAAAAAGGCAAGAGATTTGTGACCAAAAGCCACAGAGATATCATTTATTTTTAATATTTTTTTCAAGTAGGCATGTTAATTATACAAAGTTTCATCCTAAAACCCTTTCAAGACTGTGAAAGACCATTCAGAGAAAACAGACAGGAGAAATGTCAAATCTTCCATTTTAGGTGAAAGGGAGGGAGCGTAACATCTATTCCCCTTGTGGTTTTTCAGAAGCCCGTGTGTTCTATACAATGTAAAAGGCAAAAAAAAAAAAAAAAAAAAGGACTGCATATAGGGAAAAGGTCAAAGTAGCTCCCAGTACCTGATTAGGAGTTTGCTATTTCAAAGCAAACCTTTCAGGTAAATAAGTCAGATTATGTGGCTGGTATCACAAAATGTAGCTGACTTGAAGAGAGGGTAAGAACAGTCATCTAACTCTAGATTTGTTGCTGTCTAGACTGCTTTCCAAGCAGCGGGGTCCAGCAAATTGCAACCACCTTTCTGTTCTAGTTTAAGAAAAGGCTATCACACCTACCATTCTCTTTACTTTTTCCTTTGCAGACTTTTTTTCTTTGATTTGCTCCTGCAAAACCTTGTAATTCACATAACTATTTTTGGGAGGCTGAAATGAGAAAGGACACCAAGCATCATTTCTGACTTTGCCTTTGCCCCTGCCCTGCCCTGCCCGGGGCACCCCCCTTTGCTGCACCCCGTCTGCGGGTGGGAGGCAGAAGCAGCCCTCACCTTAGCGCCCAGCATAATGGCGCGTCCCTGCTCCAGGACTCTCTCCTTTCCTTTTCCATAACCTGTGATCCCAAACCGGTGCACTTCCAAACGAGCCTGCAGACACAAAGCACAGTCAGGCCCAAGTGCCTTCCAGAAACTCCACAGAGGAAACACAGCCTTAGGAGTGCTGCCTGCCAGACACGATGGGCTACATGCCCAGCACTTCTATGGAGGACCTGCAGGGGCTACACCTCGCAAGAGTGCTGTCACGGTGCGGTTTAAGCAGCTTTGTGGAGTCTCTCACAAAGGTCCATACCTCCCCACGCCATTCTCCCATACTGAATGCAGGCAGTCGAAGCAAAGACTTATCTCCACACAAATTAGTGACAAAACGAGGGTGACCCGCAGAGCTCTGCCGTACTTTAGGTTGTGCCCTAAAACAAGCTACTACCCATAAAGGCAACAACTAAAAGTACCTTCCCCAATACATCTACTCACACGTGGAAACCCTTTATCACAGCAGCTTCAAACACAGGTCCATGTTCTTTCTTTAAAAACATATTGTAGAAGAGAAAACGTCACCAATACCCACTCTTGGCAGCTGAATTACTTCCTCTCTTTTTTCTCACACGTTATTTTTAAATTTCTTTTAAAAATTATTTATTTATTTATGTATTATTTTGGCTGCACCAGGTCTTAGTTGCAGCACGTGGGACCTTCGTTGCAGCACGTGGGACCTTCATTGCAGCACATGGACTCTTAGTTGTGAAATGCATGTGGGATCTAGTTCCCCGACCAGGGATCGAACCCGGGCCCCCTGCATTGGGAGGGTGGAGTCTTAACCACTGGACCACCAGGGAAGTCTCTCTCACACATTTTTAAAACCTAGTTACAACCACAGAACACACACATCCTTGCTTTTCCTACTTACCATTGTATCACTGACACTGTAGTCACAAAACCGACATGTCTTAAACGACTGCACAATGTTCAATCAAGTAAATGTAGTGTGATCTGCTTCACCATTTCCCCAACCATCGGACAACATGTAAACATATTCATTTTTGTTATAAAGCTGAAAAAATTAATAATTTCAAAGCACATACCTTTTCTAAGTTAAATTCTTGTACATCCACATCTTTCTCGAGGATACTAGTTTTGGTCTGAAAAGGAAAAGAAAACATTCTTATTAAGGTCATCTGTTCCTTATAACATCCATCACACCAAGAGCATACTCATGTTTTTAAAAGCCTTGAAACTGGCCCAGATGCCTAAATAACAAACAATAATACATGCTTGTTGCACAGAAGCCTAGTTAACAGCTAATGGAAGACAAATGGAGAAAATAAATTTAAGGTTTCAAAGTTTAAGAAAAGACTGACGAGAAACTAAAAAAGAAAAGAGAGTAAGAGAGACACCAATGTCTGTATCTCACACACCAAATGTGGGAAACTCTGTATGGTGGGGGGGTTTAGAAAAGGATAACTGAGCAGAATTTTAGAGGGTAAAAAGGTCATATTTAAGTAATTCTCAGGAATTCCCTGGCGGTCCAGTGGTTAGGACTTGGCGCTTTCACTGCCGTGGCCCAGGTTCAATCCCTGGTTGGGGAACTAAGATCCCACAAGCCAGGAGGGGAAGGAAGGAAGGGAGGGAGGGAGGGAGGGAGAGAAAAAGAATTCCCTCTTTTCTTCCCTCCTATCCAGCCATTGGAATAATGGCTAACTCTCTTAAACTCTCTTGAGTTGAAAATTTCTTTCAGGAACATCAGATTTCTAGAAATGATGGAGACTGGGTTTATAATTCCCTACAGAAAATAATGATACTGGAAATGCCATCAAAATATGTGACTCTTTACATCAATATATCCCCTGGCTGTGGTTACCAATCCACAGAATTGACCAGAAGTTTGAGACTTCAAGGAAACTATTGTCAAATCTGGCCAAGGACAGAAATCTCTACTCAACCTCAGGCCATCCCAGCCGTGCAGCATCTAGAAAAGCAGTCCTGGCCTCTGGCTCGGCGGGGCAGGGTCTGTGCAAAGAGCAACGGACAGGGGAATGGCTTGTTAAAACCCTTCTGCTTGTAACCTGCCTTCACAGGTTAAGCTCGCTTTAGTTATTTTGTTCTCTCCTTTCCCCTCTCTTTAACTGTATACCTACCCAGCTTCTCGTAGCCCAGTTGTTTTGCAGGAATTTGGAGTCAGCTCCTGCCCCGTGAGAGCTGGCTAAGGCTGGCCAGGTCATCAGCCCTAAAACTGGGCCTGCGCAGGTGTCCGAGGAAGGGCCTTTTGAGGTCAGGGGCCAGAAAGCTCCGATCATGCTGAGCACCTCCATTCTGAACACAGACGCCTGTAACCCAGATACGTCTGCACAGAACACCGATTACCTCACCTTTTCCCCTTCCTCTGATCACCCTTCCCCACTCCTAAGACCACCATGCTTATCCCATAAAGACCCCAGCCCCCTCGCTGTTGGGAGGCGGATCTCAGACTTGTTCTCCCATCTCCTCACTTGGCTGCCTCTTGAATAACCTGTAAACCTCGGCATCTAGGCTTGCTGCACGTCGGGCAAATGGACCTGGTTCGGTAACAGATCCTACTTTACAGAAAAAAATTCTTGGATAATTATCATGATGATGAGTCTATTAGCATGATCCCCACCACTACCTTAACTTTAATTTCTACTTTTAGCTTTAAAACCACTTTAGTACATTATTCACAATGCAGCACCTGCATTTAGAAATAATCAGTGGTCTCCCCTGTCTTCTTTCCCCTACCCTTACTGTGGTAGGGGGCACTAGTGCCTACAGGTAATACTGGGTCCTCCTCCACTTCTAGGCTCACAGGAGAACTGGGCTTTGCTGCCTACCTGAAGTTAGGCACGGCTACATGACTTGTTTTGGCCAAAGTGTGAGAAGACAGAAGCATGCTCCCTCCACATGAAACCTCTAAGAGCCTTCATCGGGACTTCCCTGGTGGTGCAGTGGTTAAGAATCCGCCTGCCAGTGCAGGGGACACGGGTTCGAGCCCTGGCCCGGGAAGATCCCACATGCTGCGGAGCAACTAAGCCCGTGAGCCACAACTACTGAGCCCATGAGCCACAACTACTGAAGCCCGCATGCCCTAGAGCCCGTGCTCCACAACAAGAGAAACCACTGCACTGAGAAGCCCACGCACCGCAACAAAGAGTAGCCCCCGCTAGCCGCAACTAGAGAAAGCCCGCGCGCATCAACAAAGACCCAGCACAGCCAAAAAATAAAAAATAAATTAAAAAAAAAAAAGGCTTCATCAACTCCCCTTCTCCACCAAATGGTGGAGCCGCTATCACCCTGGGTCCCTAGAATAGGACGGCGTGGATCATAGCCGTCTGCCCTGACAATCCTGATGAACACGTAACATGAGAACAAGATTAACTTTTGCCTTTAAACCACTGAGATGTAGGGACTACTTGTTATGGAACCACTGTCTCACCTATCTTGACTGATAAAGCCTCACTGTCCCACACACGAGAGAGAGAAACGTTTGGAGATTGTGAGAACTTGTCTGTTAGGTAGTGAAGAAGCAAGCAAGCTATAAGAAGCAGACTCAGAGTGAGTACCAGACTCAGTGAACTTTCTCATGGGCTGACTTGCTGACCAAAAGTATTTTCTCCTGCACTGGTAAGATTTTTCTTCTATTAGTTACCCTGTCCAAACTTTGTCCAATTAGAGAAGAGTTGGGTAAATAAACACTCTCTTTTTAATTATGCCAGCAGTTCTGGGAATATTGAGAAATTTTTTCAAATCTTCTTGAGCGTAAATTATTTCAATTAGATTACTTTCTTCTTAATACCTATCTGACACTGGATGTACTAAAGAGTAGGGGACGTGGTACAGCTAAAGGGCGATGGACTTCAGGGCAGCCCTGGGGTACTGCAAAGATTATGAGGGCAGTAAGAACCTGGGGCAGGGACTTCCCTGACAGTCCAGTGGTTAACACTCCATGCTTCCAACACAGAGGACGCAGGCTGGATCCCTGGTCGGGGAACTAAGATCCCATGTGCCATGGGGCGTGGCCAAAAATAAATAAATAATAAAAAATAAAATAAACATTAAAAAAAAAGAACCTGGGGCAATAACTTGACAGAATATCTTTATGTCTAGTGAAGCTTCTGGTGTAGCACACTTGTGTTCCTCAAGAGACAAACAGCCTAACTAACCTATATTCCCTCTCGCTTGTGTAGTAGTTAGGCACACAGCTTTTAAGCTAGAAAGCCTGGGGTCTAGCACTTATTTCACATCCACAATCCTTTATCTGGAATCCTGAGACAATTCAGATGGTGATACTGTGATTATACTGAATACTGTCCAGACAGCAACCCGTAATGAAGCACATTCACGTTTCTGCAGCAATGCCTATGAATATTCACGCCCAATGGAACCAACAGAAAAAACTCTTAAGCCTCACTTCAGTTCAGGTCGGGTTTTACTGCCAAATAAATTTGCACCAAACTTAAAAAAACAACCTAGCTTGTGCTTTCCAAAGCTCTGGGGTTTTGGAACTGCAGATATGGGATGGTGGGGTACCTGTCTAAATGCAGGCAAATAGTTCAACCCCTCTAGGCATCAACCTCTTCTGCGAAATGAAGACAGGTCACACTGTGAAGACCTAATGAGATACTGAACTAGTTAATGAATGTAAATAATCATGGTTAGTACACAGTAAGCACTCAGGAAATACTGGTAAATCTTTACTCAGCAATTCCTTACATGTTCAGAAGCAGTGTATGTGTACCTCAGTCCAGGCCACAGGATCCAGGCGTCCCTTCTGACCTACAGTACACTGTTCTATTATTTCTACTATATCTTTCTTGTCTCTTTTCTGTGGAGGCCATAAGGTTCATGAGATGGACCAGTGTTAGGGGTGGAAAAATCACATTGATCAGACACACCTCTGAAGGCCAGACAATACTTGGATCACTTTAAGCTACACTTTCATTTCTTAAGAGCATAGGAATTTTCTTCCTTATAGGCAGCCTTGCACTCATTAAAGAGTGAGTTCATCCACTCAATCCTCAAATCACAAGTCCAAGCCACCCCGTTTTGAACCTGGAGCCCTACAGTAATCCTCACTCGGTCCCCTCATGCCTCTGGCTACTGCTCACCTATAATCCATTTACCACGCAGGGGCCAGAGCCATCTTTTTAAAATATAAATCAGATCACTTCATGCCCTTGCTTAAATTCTTTGGTGGCTTTCCATGTGCTTTAAACTAACTCCAAAGGTCCCATTGTCTCCGGGGCCTGGTGCGGGCTGGCCTCAGCCTGTTTCTCCAACAGTCCACACCTTCCCCCCTCCGTTCCCCTCCCCCTTGTCTGCTGGCTCCTGGAACCCCAAAGGCCTCTCTACAGCTCAGGGCATTTGCAAGGCAGCTTCCCTCTGCCTGCATTACTCTGCTCCCTCCTTTCCCAGCACCCTGCAACAGAGCATCAGCCTCAAGTCACCTCTGACCACTGGCTCTAAAGGAAGTTCTGCCTGTTACTCTCAGGACCCTGTATCTTTCCTTCAGAGGGTTTATAGCTCTTTTCAAGTATATTATTGATATTAATTTATCCAGGGTTTGCCCAACCCACCAGTAAACCATACACTCCATGAGAGCAGAGGACTGTACCTTGTTTACTGTGGGATCTCCTGGGCCTGGCAAAGAGTAAGCATCCAATTATTTGTGGACTAAATGAATGAATAAGATTTCTGGGCAGACTGTGTCTATAGAGCTTTACAAATGGGACATGATCAGGAAGTTCACTTGTAGGTCACCTATCTGGAATGGGTAAAATATTAAACAAATGGTGACCAAGTTCCCAGATAAGTCCATTAAAAGGGGTTCTGGTCACCAACTCCGATGCAAGGGGAAGGGTTTCCCACACATGGGAGCAACGGTCCCACACAGTCAGGTGTTCTACAGTTCAGTGCTACTCTGACACTATCTACCAGAGACGGCACAGGTTCCACAGATGAAGGGGCTCAGTCCTACGATACCGTCCCCACTTCAGAGGCCAAATGTAAGCCCAGGTTGTTACCTGTAGTACTTCTAACAGACCGCCTACAGACTGGAAGTTCTCATGACCCCCTCCTTGGGTTCAACTAATTTGCTAGAGTGGAACATAGAACTCAAGAAACCTGTTTA